GAAGCATCAACAGTTTGTATATGAGCAATAACAATGGAAAAACATCATATATTATGATGAGCTATTGAATATAATGAAGACTGCTTGATGCCATACCAAGTTTCAGTCATGGATTGAATGATCAATGATGATGAAGCTTGAATATATAAGAGTTTAATGAAAGAATTTTAAGCGAAAAAATGTTGTTTGTTGAAAGAAAATGGAGAGAAGAGTAGAGAGGGAGGGGGGGAGTATGAATGAGAAAAGTATGACTGAATATTAGAAATGATCATTTTCATATATATATATATAATATCTTTTATATTTATATTTCAGCTATGCATATATAGTTGAGCGTCAACCTATTGGACGAGTATTGTTCGAACAATTCTGTGATGTAAGCAATCCTGTCTTCAAATATGCTTGCATTTTTACTAGAAAGGTATATAAGCTTGAGCTTTTATGCTAATATACATGAATGGGATTGATTAAGATTCGAGAATATGAAACATCTGATGATGATGAGTTTCTTCGAAATAAAGTTGGAAGGGAAATAGTCTTCATGATGAGACCTGATCAAGATTTGGAATGGTACAACTTCCTACCTGATTCAGTTGTTATTAGCATTCGGGAGCTAGGAAATCAATTGTTTGTTAATAGCGATACGTTTGACTATGTCAGCAAGTAAGCCAATGATCATGAATATCATCATCAACACTAATGAATCGTTAAGGTTGGTTAGAAATTTCTTAGCGAGTGAACCATTCTTCTTGTTCACTGAGTCAAACTATTTCTTGCGGTATTTGCAATGGAAATGGCTTGAGCATCGTCCAGTAGATAAACATACATTCCGCCTGTACAGAGTTCTTGGAAAGGGAGGATTCGGTGAAGTCTGTGCATGCCAAGTTCGTTGTTCTGGCAAAATGTATGCATTGAAAAAATTGGAGAAGAAGCGTGTCAAGAAAAGACACGCTGAGACTTTAACTTTAAATGAGAAACAGATTCTCACTCGTATAAATTCCCAATTTATTGTAAGTTTTTATGGGGAGAATGGTTTATAGACTGTATATCGTTTTAGGTGAGCTTGGCTTACGCTTATGAAACAAAGGATTCTTTATGTCTTGTTCTCACTCTTATGAACGGAGGTTGATGATGAGAAACAAGCTGTAACTGAATTTATTGCTTTTGTAGGTGATCTCAAGTTCCATTTGTACAACATGGCTAATGGAGGCTTCGAAGAGAAGCGGGTTCAGTTTTACGCCGCTGAAATTACTTTAGGACTTCAACATCTTCATAGAGAACGTATAATCTACAGAGATCTCAAACCAGAAAACATTCTATTGGACGATTACGGTTAGAATGATGTCAGAAGCAATAAAAATCTAAATGAACACGTTTAAGGTCATGTTCGCATTTCTGATCTTGGCTTAGCTGTTGAATTGAAAGAAGAGCCTTTCACAAAAGGTCGCGTAGGAACCATTGGTTATATGGGTATATTTAAAGTTCAAATGATAGCATAACAAAGATATATAAATAGCTCCCGAAATCGTTAAAAACGATAAATATTCTTATGGTGTTGATTGGTGGGGACTTGGATGCCTCATCTATGAAATGATTGAAGGAAAGGTAGGTTGTGAGAATGAGAATGGAAAGCATTATGTTATCTAAGGCTCCCTTCCGCGCTCGCAAAGAGAAAGTGAAGAGAGAAGAAGTCGAAAGACGTGTAAAAGAAGACCAAGAGAAGTACTCTTCTAAATTCTCCGAGCATGCTCGCACTCTGTGCAGGTTTGTTGAAAAGAGAAGAATCAATTTTCTAAAATCAATGCGCTATAGAGGACTTCTTCACAAAGAGCCAACATTCCGTCTTGGCTGTCGCCGTGTTGGAAAGCCGGAAGAAGGAGCTGATGAAATTAGAGCTCATGCATTTTTCAACACCGCTGATGCAACAACCGGTAGAGAAGCTGTCCCATGGAAAAAGATGGAGGCTGGAAAGGTTTCAAGATGAAAATAGATTAAAATCATAATAATATAACATCTGAAGGTTACTCCTCCTTTCTGCCCTGATCCAAGAGCTGTATATGCCAAAGATGTTCTCGACATCGAACAATTCAGTACTGTGAAGGGTGTTCGTATCGATCAAAATGATAGTCAGTTCTATTCAAGATTTAACACTGGCTCTGTAAGCATCCCTTGGCAGAACGAGGTTTCTATCCCACTTTGTGCTTCTTAGAATTAATTATATTCTAGATGTTGGAAACTGAATGCTTCCAAGAGTTAAATATCATGACAACTGAAACCGGAGAACTTGTATGGAATCTGAAACCAGAAACTCTACCAAAGCCAACAGGCAAGTCAACAGTTGTAGGCATGTTAAATGAAAATGACAATATACAGGTGCTAATGCTGGTTCCAGCGGCGCAGGTACTTCAGCTACTAATAATAACGGCGAGCCCGAAGAACGTCAAGGAATCATTTCTCGCATATTCCGCGGCAAGGTAAACATCCATTTAACTAATGAATAATATATAATTAAATATATTACAGCTATTCTGCTTCTCCTAAGCAGATGTTCCATCAACTATAAGAAGAACGCAAAAAAAATATAAAAAATCCCAAAAAAGCCCAAAAAAAAAGTGTTTTATTTAATAATATATATCGTCCTTAATATGTAGGTTAATGTTTTATTGGAAGGCTTATGTGGAGAGAATATTACAGATTGGAAAATGTTCTTCTTCCCATCAGTGTTATTATACGTATTTTAATGTCGTAATGAGTGTTGTATATTATGAATATCAGTGTTGTCGAATTCCCTTCCCTTGATCCCTCCTCTCTCTCTCTCTCTCTATCCATCTCTCTCTCTCTCTTTGAACTTTCATACCTACGTCCCTTCACCTTTCTGTTCCATATTTTCAGTTATAAGTTGTGAAATTGAAACAAAGCACTACTCGATGTAAAAAGCAAACTGTTTTATAATAATGTTCATGGATTTGAACATAAAATGAGTGATCATACATTCACATCGACATCCATTTTGCTATTCAGAATTTCAATTTCACCTTGATAATATCGTAGCTTGGTGAATAATTGGAATAATGTGAATATTTTGGTGTTTGCGTATTAGTATTTTATTATTTCTTTATTAGTTACAAGCACATCTGCTTTAATCAATACGGATACAAGTTATACGTTAGACACGATATTCACAATCATCATTATCATTATCATCATCAGCAGCCGTAGGAGCAGCATCAGCATCATCATCATCGTCATCATCATCATCATTCTTTCGAGAATTGTTGTGTTGAGTAGAAAAGTTTTTGTTATTATAGGAGCTATACATGTATCAGTATTCTGAAGATCGTGTGCATTCTCTTATACTCTCTCTGTCTTGTTCACTCTCTCTATCAATACTGATATGTGTATAGCCAAAGCAGACGATGATATTTACATCTTTTTCAAGTTACAAATACATGAAGACAGATAAACACATGCACACATGCATACACAAAAGCATAAACTTATGCGAAATCTTATGTTATTCTTTTTCAAATATTTTTTTGTCGTTTGAAAGCATTTTATTCAGTTTTTTGTGACGTCTTAAACACACACATTGAGTTACGAGAATAGCAATGAAGGTTTTTTACAATACCATCCATCAATTTTTTCCCTCATTGCTATTATTCGAAGCTAATGTATTCTGTTAATGTTGTATAGTATATAGTCTGATCTCATCATTTTGAACTTCTTTTCCTTTTGTTCTTTCCTCCTCATTCTCTCTTTCTCTCTCTCTTTTCCTAGTTTTCTCAACCCTCATTCCCACGTCATCTCCAGTTTTTTTTCCTTCGAAGAGCATTTCCGCAGACAAATGAATTGGAAAAAAACCCGGCTTAACGTCATAGAATAAGAAGATTTAATGAGGGCAATGTAAAGAATATGGTAGTTACATTGAAAATTCTTTTGATTCACGAAATCTGTCTCCAAATTTTAGTATTCTTATGAAGCAGCTGCATACATTCTCTTCTCCCTCTCCCTCTCTCTCTATGTTGCCATTCTATTCCTTCCTTCCCTCCTTTCCCCTCCTATTCTCTTTGCATATGATAAATTACTTGTTCATAGCAGAATGAATTATATTAGTGTCCCCTCCCCTACCAGTAATTTAAGCCCCATTATTGTTTAGCTTTGAAAAGGATGTTAAGACATATATTAAGTTATTTTGAGCAATGTCTCTTCTGGCCAACCGAACTCTTCTCCTCGATAATCTCATTTATGGTCCGTGTTAGTCAATGCTCGCATTCATCTTGTCATTTCATCCGAGTTTGTCGTTTCTCTTGTGTCGTTTTTTCAATATCTGTCACGAACTATTGATTTCATGCATACATCCAACTATGTCAGAATTGTCTATTGTTTCGTTTGTAAAAGAGCTTCTGTTCATTCTCTTTCTATCTCTCTCTCTCATCTCCCGCTTCTTTCCTTTTCTTCTCATCAAATGTTCTTTATTTACATTTCATGTTTTGGCAACTAATATTTGACCAGACATTAAGCTATTTTTTATTATTTCAAAACCGTTCTCATCATCAGCATTCCATCTTTCTATCACAATAATCCCTCTTACTCTCATTTTCCATCTATATATCCACCTATTACCAAATCTCTTTATCCTCTCCCATGCCATCACGCCACAATTCCTCGACCCCCTAAAAACCTTTTTCAAAAATTGTAGTTTAGAATCTATTCCCTCCAAAACCATCGTAGTTTAGTTTCTGTCCTCTCTCTCTCACTCTCTGTCTCCGCCCACTCTTGATACCATCCATACCATCATTATAAACTGTATTGATTTGAACTCTCATTGTCTTATAATTATATTGTTACATTTGAACATTGTACTAATTGTCATCATTCCATCCCATCCATCAGACATATTGTTCAATTTGAAACATGTTGGTTCATTTCATACAAACAATAAGATGTATCAAGACTTTTGTTGTTATTTATTATAATTTATATGTATTCTTATTATATGTTGAGGGCAGCTTTATTTTTATTCCAAAATTATGTGATGAGAGCTAGTTGGGGGGAGGGTGCTCTTAGAACAATAACTCAAAATTTTCTCATTAGTGCATGCAGGAAGTAAACAACCCTTGAACAACACACAGCCTAACACGTCAAAACGCCAAATGTATTAAGCGCTCTTTGAATGTCAGATCTTATCAAGTACTATTCGGAAATGGAAAATGCTCAGAGCCCATCTGCCGTCTGTCGGGTATATTCTGCGATTTTATTTGATTGCTTTACAACCATCTTATGTTACCCTCATATTGGGTTTTCCGCCCTTCATGAGCCCCTGAGTAGAAGTGGCTCAGTAAGGCACGCAGAACAAACAAGTCATTTCGTGGGGGCTCCTGCATATTTCTCTGTTTCTATTTTTGGTTTTAAAAATATCCGTGCTTCTTCTTCGTCTTCTTCTTCTTCTTCTTTTCTGAAACTTCAGGCTTCGCAGAGTTTCATCCATAAGCCCATTATCCGGAAATTCCATCGCTCATTCGCTAGATGCTTTAGGCCCAGCCCCCTTTCGGCAAATCCCAATATGTTCTTATATGCCAGCTGCCTAATAAAGTTTTTCGTTTCACGGCCCTATTTAAGCCTATTGAATAACTCATCATTATTCATTCCTATTAATGAGCTCAATAGTTGCCATTTTCGCAACATTTTCTCTGATATTATTTTATGTTATTCTTCATGTATGTTAGATGAATTGCTTAAAAATTAATCTGATGGAAGGCAAAAGAAGAAGAAGAAGAAGTGTTTTTGGAATTGAGCAAACGATTCTTCTTCTCCTCTTCCACATTCGCTTCTCAATCGCTTTCCTCCTCTCTATCTGCATCTCCTTTCCCTATCCTGCTTAACATGTATATATATATATATATATATCTATATGAGAATACAAAGATAACTCGATAGATAATCCGCTCTAATGAGGGCTGGGATTCTTTTTTTCTGCCGTTTTTTCAAACCGCCATATCAATCATTTGAAAATTTGGAGAAGTATTGAAAAAGATTTTTTTTTCTATCTCTCGGCTTTCTTCAAATGAAATTCAAAAAGCATAGCGTAAAGCTTCACTACTCAATCAAGAGCTGCAATTAGTTTAGATTATGCAGTCGCCCACAAAGTTTTCTATTGAGTTCCACATCATTAAGAGTACAAATTTGAAAATCCGCCTGTCATTTTCATTCAGTTGAATAGCAAAAAGAAGCTGGAAAGAAGTTGTGCCGCTCTCACTTCTTTTTTTGTACGAATATTTATATATATATATACTTTTCTCTCTCACTTTCTCTCTCTGTCTCTCCTTCTTCTTTTTTTTTGGGGGTGGAGGCTCTGTTTTTTTGGGAAAAAATTGTTTTCTTGTTCTTGTTATCGTGTGCTATAACTCACGTGCGTTTTAAATTTCTACGTAGGAATATTTTTCAAAACACTATATTTGCATCTTGAATAACTTTAGACGAAAAGTTGAATTGTTAAAAGAGAGAGAGAGAGAGGAGGAGGGAGAGAGAGAGAGAGTTGTAGTTGTAGCTTCTATGCTTGTAGTGCTCTTAATTGCTTCGAAACATAATTGACCTAAAGTGAATAGACTGGAAACAAAAAAGACTGGCCAAACTTCATTATAACTTTGTTGCCTTATTTCATGTCCAAATGAGAAAGATAGAGAGAGAAAGAGGAAGAGAGAGAAGAATTTCCTTTTTTGTTGCCAATTTTTTGAGTCAATGACGACGCCTACTATTTCAAGTATATGCATACAATTACTCGTTTCTATTCTTTCTTTCTTGCTGTCATTCTTTTGTCTTTTGAAATTATATTTTATTATTGAAGCATATTACTCACGAAACCCCTTTTTCAAATATGAGAGAGCTTATGAGTTTTAGATAATTCTTTATCTGTTATGTTGTCGTTTCATAAAAACGATAAAACGGAATGAACTGAGCAAATCGATATTGTCACACGACCATCACAATCAACACTCTCTGTTTCCAACTGTTACATGTAGTTATTGATTTTCATTTTTGTCACGAAAGGACAAAAAACATTTTTCTCTTTTATCCAATTATATGCTCTCAACCGCTCCCGACCTAGGTCCATCTGTCAAATGAATCAAACTGTCACCTGTCTACCCCCACCAGCCTCCCTTTGCCCGTTCCTTCTTCCTCAATCCATGTATTTCATTCTCTCATTTCTTCCTATTTCGTTCAAAATTTTTTTTCGTTTTTGAGTTGCGGTTTAGGCTTAATGTGTTTTCCTCCATTCAAGGTTACGCATTTTGGTTTTTTTTTCGACTCATAAAATAGTTTTTGGTTACTAGGCTGTGTGTGTGTGTGTCTGTGGTGTAGGTTGTGTGGGTTGCGCTGTGTGTGTGTATGTGCATGCAATATATGAGCAGTTTTGTTCATTGCTCGCCGAAAAACAAGTTAATTTCCTACAGAAGCCTATCGACAGGAACTGCATTTTTGAGTTTATAATGAAAATGGGGAGTCGTTTTGTAATATTTTTTTTGTTTAGCCTATGCTTTATTTCCGTTTACATTTGGCAAGTCATAACTGACAGCACAGCTTCCTTACCAGCTCATAAAGAATATCTAGCTTTTCCTACTCTCTTGTATATTCATTTGAAAACATTAAGAGATTGATATTCCCCTTCTCTCTCTCTTTCCGTTTTTTCCCTCCTTTCTCCAATTGTGATTAGTTACTCAGCCCACACACTATTCTTTCTCCTGAGAACAATAGTAATGCATTTCATTGCTAACGCTTTGGACATTTTGAGATTTTCAATCACTTAGCATCTAGCATGTGAAATGCCTTAATGTTATGAACTATATTATCCATTGGAAGTGAATGCCACTCTCAAATTATATTTGAACAAGTGGTCTTTCAGCTGAAAATGCATTAAATTTGTCAGATATTTTAAGCTTCTATTTATTGTTTTCAATATTATGTACCAGGCAGGCTCCCCCCCCTCCCTCCTCCTTCTGCCTTCTCTCCCTCCTTCTGCCTTCTTCCCTTCTCGCAGCCTTCTTGAAGGCAAACGCAGAAATTATATGTTTTGGACATATTTAATTATAACCTTCCTTTCTACAAACCTATCTATATGTATATGTACGTATGTGAATATATAATATTATTATTTTAAGGTAGTCTCAACAATATATATTTTCATGTTTATATTCAATTGAGAGGTTACTACTACTACTACTACTATATATGGTATTATGCTTACGGATAAAGAAAAAGAGTTATGTCCACGACTAATAGATTATTTTGTGATTGTTGGAACACGCTCACGCAAAAGGTAAATAAACATATGTAATCAGCTGTATTGTGTCGTTGTCGTCGCTTTTTCTTTTCATTTTTTCTCCAATCCCTTCTCTCCCTTGTATTCTGTCGTCTACCGTTTACAAATAGCTAATTAGATATATGTTTTCTTTCCATATATAGTTATGTTTCTCCTCCTTTGCTTCTATTTTTGTTGCCTTTGTTGGCATGATCATCATCATCATTCCCTTTATTTCTTCATTTATTCACTCTTTTGTTTTGTTAGCTTCTGAATTAGGCTAATTCATCAAACAAACATGTTTTCATTGAGTTGAGCTACATGTAACGAGATGAATCTATCCACCTAGGAAAAAAAAGAGATAATTTCACTTTGCTTTTGACTATTTTGAAGAGAGACTGATCATTGGTTTCGCATTGAGGGAATACTTTTCATAATCCATTAATCCAAGCCGAAGGGAAGCCTAAAAGTGCTTCTCAAACATCTTTTTTTTCTTTCTTCTACTCCGTTACAAAAAGCCACGAATGAATATATCTATCTATCTATCTATATATATAGATAGAGAGAGAGAATATATTGAAAGACTATATACTGAGGGGCAGATGCTATGTCATCTGAAATATTTAAAGCTCAAGCTATAAACAATTTATTTCAGCCCAGACAAAGTTCAAATAGAGCCCGGTGAAGTGTCACATAGTTATCCTGAAATACTACGAAGGTTATAAATAGTCTTGAGCGTTTTCTATTTTTATATCTATTTTCAGATATCCGTCAAACAACCATTCGGACTTTCCGCTGCCAGCTGAGGTTGCCGTTTTCTGTCAGCCAGAAGGATGCTCGACGCTCTGTATAAAATGACATTCTGACAGATTTACTTAATTTGCATTTATAGTGAGCACGACATGGCCAATTGCAAGATCAACATTTTTCATGTTTCAACTGACAGAAAAGGATTCAGCTAAGACGCGTTACGGGTTTTGTTACAGCACTCATCAATCATTCACCCCGGAATCAGCGAACGCTGAACCAGCTGATGCGTATGTTTTTGGGTTTTTGTTCGTGAGAATAGAGGGATTGAGAGGCAAAAAAAAGAGAAGAGAAAGAGGAAAGAGAAACGGAATTGAAAAAGAGAAACAAAGGAAAATGGTATTTGGAAGAGAGGATAGCAGAGAGAGTGAGACTCATAATAGAGAGGATTGGATGGAAAGAAAGTTACAGAAAATAAAAAGAGTCGAAATGTGGAAAAGATGAAATGACTGAATGTTGAAAAATAAAAAAAAAAGAGAGGAAAAGACTGTCTAATAGAAAAGAATAAATAATGAGAGACAAAGAAGGAATGAAGAGGGATTGAAGAACACAATCGTATGAAGGCAAGAAGAGGGAAGGAGGGGAAAGGAGAGGTTGAGAGAAGAGAAAAAGAAAATTCAAAATGAGCTTACGAAATACTTTGTATTGTTCATGGAGAATGATGAAAAACATAAGATTAAGCTATATTGTTTTTTCTGGAAAGCTTAATCGGGTTGTTGTCTTCTTGAATCAACAAAGACAAGTAACTAAATGAAATATTTATAGACATGAAGTATCTTTAACGAGTTTATGCTTGATATCTCATCATCCATTTGCTTCATTCTTTGAGGATGTGCTCACGTTTCTGCAAACAATCATCTGCAGCTGTGATTTCAGAACCCAAAAAGCTATTTCAATCAAGTATATTGAAAACAATGAAAAGATATATAACGAATGAATAATTAAGGAATGTCGTTTGGTCTGTTATTACGGGAAATTGGGATGAGCCTATTCCTATGCATGCCATTAAAGAAATCAAAGAAATGGAAACGTATGTACTCACGTTGCTTAGTGCTCCAGTGCCTGTTCCGGGAAAAACAAAGCTTGTTATCACGGTATGATATTTATACGTTAAAGATCATCATAAATATCATTATAGCTAATGCCTGATAATCTTTTACCTGATTATCAAGTATGTCTACCAGATCATACACGCTTCAATTTGGTTGACTTTCCAATATACCTTCCATTCGAATTATTAGGGGTTGATGTGGCTTTGCAAGTTCTCACAGCTATCATGCTAGAGTTCAAAGTAAGCTTCTTCAGATTTACATAACTGATGATGTCCTTTTAAGGTTGTCATCCAGTCAAAGAACTACAACGATCTCAGTTTAAGTGTCTTAGCATTCATAAATCTTCTATATCCACTTGAATATATGTTTCCCGTAATTCCATTGCTTCCCACATTCCTTGCATCCGCTGAGCAGGCAAGCTATCCATTCAAATGTTTCAAAAAATGATGAAAATCCATTAAGATTTTATTAGCACCTACGCCTTTCGTTATTGGAGTTCCTGCTATGTTTTTCAAACATAAAAAAATAACTCTGCCATCAGATATTGTTTTAGTGGATCTTGATTCTTGTCAAGTGGTTGTCCCTGACGACATATGTATTCCAGCTTTACCGGAACCGGAAGCAAGCACTTTGAAGGTACATATTCAATGAAATTTTAATTTGAGAAACCCAAAGAATGCTTTGACGAAACAGAAATAATGAAAGTATTGGGAAATATTGAAATAACTATTTCAGAGAGTTATGGGGGACGCATTGGAGAAGAGATATACCATAAACCAAGCTCCAAGACAACCACTTCACGATCCTGAGTACTCATTGATATCTGACACAACAGATGTCGTCTTCCGTGTATCTATGGTAGAAAACAGATTTTGTTAGAAATGAAAGACGTTCTGCCGTTTCAGGTCAAATTCTTCAATTCTCCAAATATCTTTGGAGACTTTAGTGAGCATACTAGAACTCTCCGATTATATCCTAGGCCTGTGGTAGCATTACAAACAGATTCTTTCCTTCGTAGTCGTCCTGTACAATCCCAGTTTATTGTTGAACTGTGCAGGTGAGAAATATGAGAATGGAACGTTCAATCAGTAATCGTTTCCAGGACTCAAGCGGTAGAGTACTTTGCTGAGTATTGTTTGTGTCCCTCGAATGAGACATTCGTTCGAATCCAAGCAGGAATCGAATCGGAAAGACAAGTTGGTGATAAACCAAGATGGTATGCAGAGAACCTTATGCCAATACGCTTTGTGGTAAGCTAGTTACAAGCAATGGATAACCTTATGTGTGATTTAAGGTTCATGCAGCGTGTTCTAACGTTTGCACATTATTCTTGAAAGGAGAAGATGAAACTATGATGGATAGGAAAGATTTGGATGATATGGCAGCACTAGCCACATCCTACAGTTTAGCCGATTTAGTATCTGATAAGAATGGTATTGAACTGAAAGTTCAGTGGATTAGAGCTGAACTTGTTTTTTCAGAGTCTAGTGATAAGATAAACCCCATCACGGAAGTAGGTCATATTTATCAGCAGCCGTTAACACTAAAGCTGCCTGAGAAGGATAAAGACGAAGTAGAGAGTACGATTAGTAGTGGAAGGTAATTGGAAAACATTGACGTGAATAAATCAAACTTTCAACAGATCAACTCCCTCATCTGCTGGTGATGGTAGTGAAGCTGATTTCGCTAGACTAGCTGATAACATGGTGATTAAATCAAATTCTAAGGTATTGCTTGATACTAAGACAGCAATTAATCGGTCACTTCAGGGCAAATTCGCATTTGAACACGGAGACGATGACGACATAGATGTAGAGTCAACACCGATTGCTAAAAAGAGACATGGTGACGTGAATGGTAAAGAAGGTTCCGCCGCTAGTGATTCAGATGGATCAGTGAAAAAGAGAGGTCTTAGGATTAAAGTATGAAACTCGCTATCTTGGATAGAGTAACGACTACTATATAGGGGCTGAGTACGCTGACAGAATCAGGAGAGAAGGTTCTTGGACAAAACTTCATGTTCTCTATGGTTGGTTATGCAGAAAAGAGTCAAGATATTCTTAGTCAAGTATGTATTCGAAAGAAGTTTATTTTTAATCATGTATGCTATTAAGGTTATTGGAAAAACAGCACCAAAAGCTCAAGCCTTGAAAAATAAGGCCATTGCTCCTTTAACAGGATCCCACAACGATGCAAATAAGAATCCTGTAGCCAAGCCAGCTGTCAATGCTAGTATCCAAACAGCCTCGATACAGAACAAGAATCAGATAGCAGTTAGAGAGATATGCGACCAAGTGTTAGCGGGACAAGGAGTTGGAGTGTTCACATACAATAAATTGAAAAAGTGAGAATAGTGTAGAAAACAATTTTTATACTGATGAGGGTTCAGGTTAATGGAAGATGAAAGTTTACGCGAGTTAGCCTGTTCCAAGTTAAACTTAGGATTAGATCAGAAACTACAAGAAGATGAGTTTGTTAAAGAGATAGTAAGTAATGAACTATGACAGAGTTTACAAATAATACTTACAGCAACTTTCTCGATCTCAGTATAAAGGTTATGTACGAGTATTACAAGCGTGTGTAGCAGGATTAGAGGTAGCAGTTGGTATGAAAGAGTTGTTCTAAAGTTTATTTTTTCGAGGCTTCTTTCAAAACACCTGGTTGTTGCGGAATGGCTAGCACGTTCCATATTCTTGAGATATGTCATACACATTTTTGGTCTAGAAACGATTTCGCTACACCTACTAGCTCTCAGAAGTTCGAACTAATGTCTCCTCTGGAGGTAGCATCTCCAGTCATGTAAGAAATTAGACTCTTTACTTGATCAGCTTTATCTGTTTAAGACCAAAATCAAGTAGTCGAGTAGATGGTTTTGAACCAAAACATAAAACTTCAACATCTTCTGATAAGACGATAGTAGCGGATGGCATTAACAAATTGACGTTACAAGATGATAGTCATCCAGAAGAAGCTCCTAGTGACTCGGCTGCACAAGGTGAACCCAAGAAAAGACAGCCACCCCCTATTCCACCCAGAGTGCCACCAAGACCAGCACCCAGCAGTGTATGTTTCATAACTCGCTAGGTTTAATTGTTCTATATCTTAAGGTTGCTGCCATGGCTGCATCATCAAGAACACATCCACCTCCACGAGTTACTCCACCACCACTTGTGCCTCCACCTCCCAAGCCTTTCGCTTCATCAGAACTGAACTCTTCGTACATGTCTGTTTCGAGTGCGGATAGCAAAGAATCAGATTGTTCAACATCTTCATCTAAATCTTCATCATCCAAATCTTCTGGTGGGCAACACGAGAAACTTATGGCTAGCTTAGTGAAGACAGATCTGCTGAGAGACCCCGAACGCTCTAAAACAGACAGAATGAATAATAACGAAACAAGGGTTACTGACAAATCACAAATTGTATTACCAGAGCTAGCCAATCGAAAGAGCTCAGGAGGTGTTAATGACAGTAATAAGCATTTCTTATATCAAGATATAGTTTGTAAGTTTCATGATTGACAGAACTAATCAATAATCACTCTCATTACAGTATCCTCACCTAATCCGTTATGGTTGAACCTTGTCTTCTGGGAAAATGTGTTCGTTGACATTGTAGCACAAGAGCGTGAAATAGTTGGAATGGATGAAGAGCCATCAGAAATGATTGACAGGTGATTAGAAATATGAATATCTTACTTATATGAACAATTATAGATATTGTCAACTTAGTGACATAGAAAGAAAGAGATTAGAGCTTGATGAAGATAGGCTGTTGGGTACATTGCTGCACAACTTAACGAGTTACATGATCATGTGTGGAACAGGTCAACAATCCATTCAAATGGTATAAACAATCATTTAGTTGAAAATAAAGAAAAAACTTCAGAAAGTACGTCGTTTGCTAGGAAAAGCTCATGTGGGTTTGATTGCTTCTCAGAAAGTTAATCGTTTGTTGGATGATTTGCCTTCAGAGGTCGTTTAATTAAACGAAATTGAAACGTTAAACGTCATGATTTCAGCAAACGAATGCCATTTCACTTAAACCTCTAGGAAGCCGTTTATTACAAAAATTGAGCTTTGTTGTTTACACAGCTCCCAATAATGAGGGTGAAATGCTGTTTGTGGACGTCAGTGAAGATGCCATGGTCGTCAGAGGAGTAACAGGCAATGTAATTGAACGTTGGTGGTATGAGAGATTGGTCAATATGACGTATTCACCAAAATCTAAACTGTTATGTGTATGGAGTCGTAGCGATGACAAAGTGAATATGCACACGTTCTATACCAGGAAGGTAGGATAACGGCTATCCGATATAGAGGAAGATATTGATTGCAGTGTAAGGAGTTATATGAAGCTCTGAAGAATGCTATGAAACGAGCAGCAGATCGTGGTCAATACAATATAGAAGATAGAGCGTTAGGCGGTGAATTTCCTATACATGATGTTGAAAGGAATGAAGGAGGGTTAATACAAATACGTAGTGATGGAATTGTGATTTTGTTCGAAAGCAAGAAGGTAGGAACGATGGATCGATAATGAGATTGATAAGAAAATCTTTTTTTCTCAGATTTTCATTGATATCAAAGACATTAAGAAGTGTAACACATTTGGTGGAAATATATTTTTGTTGGAAGAATACAGTAAGCCAGATGCATGCATGTTGTTTAATAATGATTGTGTGTGCTTAAGATAGAGATACGGGATCAGTTAACTCAAGGAGATTCTATTCAAATATGGTGAGTTCTATATCGTTATAGTTATTTGAATAATTAATAATCAAATGCCCTTCCCTTCATAACTTCTAACACTTTTTACCTCATTTCTTAAGTCGGGGGTTGCAAGACTTGAGAATAATGCAAAAGGATTAAGTGAACTTTCTTTTCAATTGATCTTTCATTCCTTTTCTTTCATTTTCATTATTTCATATCTTCCTCTCTCTCTCTCTCTCTCTCTTTCTCTCTCTCTCTCATACTGTTTTCATTTATTATTTTTCTCTCTCTCTCCCTTTCCATCCCTTGGCTCTACGTTTCCAAAGTATTAACGTTGTGTAGTGTTATCGCTAGTGTATTGTCACTCATATAAGGAGCAGGGAAGCGTTGATGATGCAAGAGAACATTTCTCACTTGGGATAGCCTCTAACAGAATTACAAAAACAACATATTTCCTTGTTCTACTTTTCAGTACTAATTTCATGATACCCCACTGTTGTGTTTCGGAATATCGTTGTGATGAAAACCACTTTTTGATTATTATTAATCACTTTTTAATTTTATAATTTCATATTTCAATTTTTAACCTTTTTTTCTTGAACGACAATATCTGCTGCTAAGTACCTATCTTATGACTCGATGACGCTAACTATATCCTTCCATATATAATGCAATAGCGACTAGAAGCTGTTAGGAGCTTATTCATTGAAACCGATACGCGGTGGTATGAAATGACGAGAGGAGATGAAATTAGAAGTTAGATAATTGGATTCGGATGATGATCTTCTTCAGGCTTCTACGATTGCTTTATCTCTGCACCGAGTATTTAGTGTGACTTTTACGGCCAGTCAAGTTGATACAACAGACTAATCATTGGAGATATGCGAACGGTCTTGTTTACAAGTTATGTGAAACAGGCTCACGCACCTACACACCCACAACACACACTCTTCCAATATCAACAGGACAAGATGATATCCCGCATGTTTACGTAAATCTATTGTGGTCATTTTTTTCAAACAACAAAACAAGATATATATATGTGCAGCACATGTAAGCTCTCACATACACACCTCAGATGTCAACACTAACTATATATGGCTAAAACATATTATATATAGTATATCGTATTTGCTTTTTATTTGAGAAATTGCCTTTGAGAACATATAGATGAAAGAGAAGAATTAGAAAAGATAAAGATATTTTTGAAATTAGTATAGTAACTGTGATAATAGATTGCTGGATTGTTGATGATGTGTGTATGTGAAGCTATGTGTTCATTGTAACTCCTCTCTCACTCCCCTCTCTCACTCTCTCTCTCTCTTACTCTTTATTCTACTCTCTCTCTCCACAATAGTTTCATGGAAATTGTGTTTAAGCTTTTTTTAAATTTTTTTTTATTTCAATTTTCCAATTCTTCACTCCTACTCTCTAGCATGCATTATAATTCCTTTTTTTTATTTTTATTTCCACACTCTCTCCCTCTCTATTCTCATTTTAATTTCTTCACTGTTATGATATAATATCTAATATTAAAGATATGTTTTCATTTATATATATTTTTAATTTTGATTACAAAATATAACTTTGTAAGCTGTAGTGCGCTAGTTGTGTGTGCTATCAGTTGTTTAAGCTGAGATATTGCAACCTTATATATATCTGTATGTATGTATGTGTGTCTTCTACCTTGTGATATCCATTCGTTGTATATGTTGATGTGCTTATATGGGTGACGTGATGTTACATGTTAGTGTGTGTGTATATCTATTGTGATTTGTTTTTCCACGTCGTATATAGTTTATAGCTTGTATAGTTATGGCATGATCATATCTCTTCTTTCCTTCTCTCTCTCTCTCCTCTCTCTTAACTCTTAAACATGCTAGTGTTGTTATTACTATATATATTATGCTTTGATATTGTTGTCAGTGAATGATTTATATATCGATTTGCTAGTGTCTTAATATATAATTACGGTGTCTGTATGAATTATAATTTGATTGATATATACATATATATATTTTTGATTCATTGTTTTCATTACTATCATTTTCTATACTGTGTCTATCACAAATACAAACCCCTTTTTTATATTTTTTTTTCATTATTACACCTTTTGCACTTAAACAAGCCTTGATTTCCTTTCCTGCACCTCACACAGATAATTTAAATATCTAACCGATTTGTCTTTCTTGCTTACTATTTATTTAAAATAGGCTGATCAAATCTCATACGCAGTGCTATGCGTTTTCTCTGTCGCTACAACTCAACAGCTACAACATCATCAACAAACAACAACACCATCATCATCATCATCATCAACTCAACAACGGATCTAGAAGGAGACTGAACACTTCTACTGCTGCTCATTCTGAGTCATGCAAGCTGATGCATCTATCATTAGAAGACAAAGCCTATCTTATATAACATCACGCTCAGTAACTACCTTTCAAACAACTCTTTGGCTGGCACGATCTATCATGACTGATTTTTTATTTTTAATTTATCACAGTGTCGTCAAACTGTCCAAGTGCTAATCGTCCAATTTCATACACACCATAATCCTGAAAAATTCAAAAAAAAAAAAGAAGATACTGTATCTATATATGTACGTAATTGATATTGTCATTCACTTTTAACCTTATACGCTATACTGTGCTAACGTTTTAATGTTTTTTATTATTTAATAATTATATCTGACATATCTATTCATTAGTATTACTATCTATATGCATATAGTATAGATATAGATATTGGAAATGAATAGATTATGCAGAATATAATGCGATTTGGCAAATCTATTATGTTATTATATGTTAGCCTATCTTTAGTTAGTGTGTTCTTTCATTTATTTCTTTATTGAGAACAAATGCTGTGTGCTTATATGTATATGTCTAATTATTATATTATATATTTAAGGTACTTTAAGATATGTTTAGATATACAGCATAATCATTTCAATATGATCTCTCTCTCTCTCTCTCTCTCTCTCTGTGTCTCTCACTCTTCTTGCTCCTCTTCTTCTTCTTTTACTCAGTTATTAAGAAAGCAATATAGGAGTAACTTCTACTTCTTCACATACCTCAATATCTACAGTAATAATTGTATTTTGTGATGAAAAACAGATAACCTCTACTACGACTACAACTACTTCATTCTGACAGTACTACTATCTCAGTTGTAATTATACATTAACTATATGATATAATATATAATATATATATGAAACATGTCAATATCATTTAATAAACTTTTTGACATTCACATCTTCATTTTTATATATTTCAGATGTTTTTATTGTTGTGATGTTATTGCTTCTGTTCTTGCAGTATAATAGCTTGTCCCTCTCTGCCTCTTCTTACTCACTCTCATCACACCTCTCTATCCTCGCATTCAATTTCATTAGCTCTTTAACAAGTCATTTTTGCACTTTTTTTTTACTGTTGAGAAGAATGATCAGAAGAACGAATTAAAATTGGGAGAGGGAAGGTTTTATATGCCGGTTTAAGGCATCTCGCTTCAATTAACTAACTGCTGGAACAGATGAAAGGTTAGTCATGGATGAGTGACAATAAATTCAATTTGAATATATTTTTAATTAACAACCCCTTAGGAATAATTTATATTTTCTGCTTTACTTGTGACAAGAACAAAAAACTCGAAAAAGAAAGGATAAGAAGCATCGAATCGTGTTACTGCTTTACATTGGAATATCAGTTATCGTCGTTATTCACCTTCATTCTCTTTCTCTCTCTCTCTTTCTATTCTGTTTTTGCATCATCAACATCATTCTCCACCCCTTGTTTCTCCCCCTCATAACCATCCAGCTTCATAGTTTGTCATTAAAACAGCATTGACAATCATCAATTGTGTATTAGTTCATCAAAAGATTATCTGCTCTTAAATGCCTAAAACAGCAATTTGTTGTTCATTTAATTACATTTGAGTAGGAGAGATTAACCATTTCTTGGGACAGAGATGAATGTTCCGTTTGCCGGAAACATTCACATGTGATTTGTCAACGAGAAGTTGCCGTTTTTGTCTCAAGCAGTTACGTTGTCAAGACTTGCAAGACATAATTTATGACTTTTAGCATTGCATTTGCTGTAGATCTCCCTGAACACAAATGTCATTTTCAATTTAGCATATTAACAAAGCTGGATTTTACTATAAGAAAGCAAGCAACCTTCTCTCTATACTATTTGCTTTTTCTTTTTTTCTTCAACTTCTTCTTCCTTGTTCACATCAAATTAGCACATACACACACACACATACACATACATAACAAACATGAACTCGACTGTCAAATCATTAAGTGGTCAGACGTCTGATTTAAAATAATAAAATACAAAAATGCTACAAAAAACACCATTGAGCACGGAAATCATTGATGCGTACATTGCATGGTTAACTAACTGTCTATCTGTCTATATCTCACTACTTCTAATCATGTCTCTCCCTCTCTCTCTCTCAAAGATATTCATTTCTATTTTGCTCATTATTGTTTTCAATCTTTTTTTTTCCTTTTTTTTTCCTTTATAAAGATTATTCTAACAATTGGGGCATTGAATTTCTGTGTTTTCTTTTTTGTGTTGCTCTTCTGCGATTACGTCTCTCCGTGTGTTGGTATCGATGAGATTTCCTTTTGTCTTTTTCTGTCTGTTATGTGAGAATTGCAAAACGATGTCGGTGAGATAGTTATGAGATGCCAAGCAACCTGATATTTATGGATTTCAAAAATGACAAAACGAATTTTGTTGAATCTTTTTCTATTTTTAATAACTTTATTATAATACTATGTACACAAAGATATATAATCTGTTAGAGACAATATCTTTCTTTCTCTCTCTCTCTTTATGCTATTCTCTCTATAAATCAACTTCCCTCTCTCTATCTTTCTCTCTCTCTCTCTCTTTATGCTATTCTCTCTATAAATCAACTTCCCTCTCTCTATCTTTCTCTCTCTCTCTCTCTCTCTCTTTTTCTCTCTCTCTCTATGAGTATATCTATAGATGAACAGATTCATGATATATGCAGGTAGATGCTATGTGTTTCTTTATACATCTAGGGGTTCAGACATTGAACACACGATTATCTATGATGCCATATCTAGAATATGAATGAAAGAAATCGGAGTTTTCCTCTTTTGCCATCTATTTACATAGCTCAACGCATACGACAGTTATATCTTATTTTAGTAATTGAGAAGTAAAAAATCCATTCAAACCCTCACTATGTCTTGTCTTTTCGTTTTGCCTCCTTCATCATATCTCATAGTCTTCTCCATTCTCTGTTATTTACAATTCCAGGAAGAGTAATCTCACTCTCTCTCTCTCTCTCTTTTCTGTATTTCTCTTTCTCTATTCCCTCCTTGACAATATACTTTCAAATCTATATTCTTACTTTCACATCTCTTTTTTTTCTTTTTCTTTTTCTGTTTTATCCATCTCTTCTCCTTCATTTTTTAATATAAACTCTTTTTTTTGCAGAGACAGAAGAAAGTGTTTTGTGTCTCATGATCAGCCATTATTTACTTTTCGCTTATATTAAAGTAAAATAAAAAATCTTTTTTATTTTCAATTTATTTGCCAAAAATTACTTTTCCTCCCTTTTACTCCTTATAAAAGCATTAAGACTTCTGATCAAACAAAAGACGTTTATTTATTCATTGAAATGGTTTCACGAACACCTTGGGAGGGCTGATTTCTTCATTTTCTATGAATTTCCTCCCAATTTTCAATTAAACATGAATTCTCTATTCCAAGAAATGCTCAAATAGTTCTTTCTATCTGTGCCTACGTGTCTATGTGTGTGTATGGGGTAGATCGAAAGCCTCCATCGTGCGTCACCATTTTGTATCCTATTTCCTTCTG